ATATAAAATTGATTCGGATCGGCTCCTGGCATCCAGATGCTACGAGAGAGATACCTACTTTTCAAGAAACAAGTGTACGAAGAAGCCTCAAGATGGTCCCATGATCTTGGGCAGTCTGAAAATAGACGGGATAGAGGGGCGTTAAAGCAAACAACGCTTTCCCTCCTTTCCCCCTCCCACTCCAAAGGAGTCCATGTATTCTTAAAGATATTATAATTAAAAGAGGTTTCAACATTCGGACTCTTTAGAGACATGAAGCGCTTTGTCAGAGGCCTTCCGTAAAAAGAAGCGCCCTTTATCATCCCTATGTGAATCTTATTGCTCGACCGTTACAGTTTATAGGAAGTAGGAAAAAATTTATTTTTTTAAGGATCTAAAAGATAATCTTTCATTTCGTAATACAGCCATAAATTGCGTGAGCTAGGTACTTCTAAAATTTAATATCATATTCCGCAGAGGTTTAACTTGCTGAGTTTAACTTGGTTTATGGTGCGCCTGTATTTATAGAAGAAATTATTGCTACGAAAAGTCCCTCTTTGGCTAATGCGGATTGTGAAGCGGTTAAACACTTAAAGAAGGCCCTCACGAGGATGAGATTGTCATCATTGGCCCTGCATAACTCGTTGTGAGGATCGTAACGAAGTAAACGCTGCAAGCCTTCGATGTCGAAATGCGACCAATCCAGCTCATCGAGATAGTCCACCAAGGTCTGGTTCTTCCCGTTGTTTGACACCATGTACTCGTAGCCATCTTTCCTGTTGAGAAGCATTCGTCCCGGAAACAGCCAAGGACCTACATGGCGTGGGATCATAAATGGAAAGAAGCACCCACGGTTCGAGCCGGACGTTGGAGATGCGGAGCAGAGCGAAGAGCTTCTCGTAACTGGGGAGACTGAGGCAAGAGGCGATTTTCTGAGCTGGGTAATAGTGAAGAAATGCCAGACACATTTCCTCCTGGGTTCCAAAACCACCTACGGTCACCGACTTCCGATTCGACGAATTGTAGTAGCATTCTGGAAACGAGTAAAAAATTCGAAATGCTAGGTAATGCAATCTTGGGTGGTTCCATCAAATCATATTTTAGGAAGAACTTGCCCAAGGTGAGTTGATCTCCAGGATACAGAGTGACTGGTTCCCGAAGCACTCGGGCCTGCTGGAAATTGAAGTCATAATTGTCGTCGTTCAGGAGCCAGGGCAATTCCTTGCCGTTTCGAAACAGCCGAACTCGCAATTTCCTTCCTGCATTCGATCGTGCATGTTAGGATTCTCAGATGAACAGTCTGAAAATTACGTCTGAATCGTTTCACAATGATCAAGGGTGGTTGTAAAACTTTCATGGAATCTCACCGATTAAATGAGAATGGAGAAAGCCGGAGAAAATGTGAATCCCGCCTGGCGGGATGGCGGTTGCTGTGCATTCGGAGCTGCAGTGACCGACGTTGACGAAAAGATTCTGTCTCGCCGGGATGATCTGTTCGTTAATTAAGCCTCCAAGATGCATAATGCTTCGATCACAAAGAATCATGACTGGCAATCAGTGAATGTTAACGTAAATACAGGGTAGTTAATCGCATGCTTGCCAAGGACATTAAGATATATAACATACAAATCAAGAAATCTCTCATCTGAAAGAAAAGTACTTCCCTCAAAAAAAGAATCGGTCCTTTTAGGAAGTAAGAAGGAGGACTCAATGTACAATGAGTCACGCCTGTCTTTCGGATTCAAGGAATCCCACATCCAAACACCCTTTGGCTGAGCTAAAAGCATTTCACTGACCGCGGACAACAAATCCAGTTCAGAATCGTTATTTTTTTTTAAGACGAAGCCAACTGACAATCACATTGATAATGATTCTCAACGAGTAGACGACTCAAACT